CATGACCACGGAGACTGTCTGCGGACAAACGCTGGCTCCCTCAGCTAGGAAACGGAGATGAGCACTGCCCCCTAGAGTCAGGCATGACTGGACTTAATGTCAAGGGGAAACCTTTACATTTTAAGGGCTATTAAGGGTAAATATGATCATGAGATCTGCAAGTTAGACTGACTCACATTCATAGATGCTGCCATGATTGGATTCTACTCACATGGAACTCAACACCTCTTGGTGGGGGGTGGGGGGGTGGGGCTCAGGTTGGGGAGGGCTGGTCTTACAAATAGCCATGCTGCAGAAGCACCATGTTCGATAGCAAGTGGTTTTGCTTGTCCGCTGCCTCCATGAACTACAGTGTACCACCACTAGTTCAAACCAGCCATAATTATACTTTGATGCAGAGGCTTGTTCAAAACACATCATAAAAAGCCAGTTCTTCTAAAAACTAAAGGAACTTTATCTATGCTAAAGTCCTTTGAAAATGTCATTGTTCACATGGCTGAAGGAAGGCAGTTCTGTGATTTATGAGACCTTTAACTGACAACCCATATTGTGTATTAAAGGTTTTTTTATTCTTTAGTAAGAATTTTTTTTTGCTTAAATCACAAAATATTGTGGAAATATTTTGATAGTATAATTCATGGACTGCTGGAAAATACCCAATATAAAGATCAATTCCTAATATCTCACATACTTAAACTGTTCTTAAAACAGCTGATTTCTTGCAGACAGTATTTCTTTTTTAAATAATTTAAGACAGCATAAGCTTGTACCAAGCAAAAGCATTGTAACAAAAGTGCAACTTTTTTCAGCAATTCCTCCACAAAAGAGATATTTTAACTCAAAATATCATTAACACAGATTTTCCTACAAAAATAGCATGTTGGGCATCATTAATTGGATGTATTAACAACTATTTACATACAGCCATTCTGTAGGCTAGTAAAATTTTAAAAAAAAGAAAAGGAAAGGAAAACAACAACAACGTTGTTTAAATACAGCGTCTGAGGCAAACGGTAGCAACAGTAGCAGCAGCAAACGCACCCCAAATGACTAACAGACCCGGGCATATTCACTCATAGTCAGACTGTTGTGTCTCACCTCTTGCATAACATTCAAGTGAGATTTCTCACAGTGCTACCTTGGCAACAAACTAAAAATATCTAGGCAAGGTTCTTGGCTTAAGCCTTATTAACAAAGCTTTAGTTGTGTGATTATCTGGTGTCTGGCAACTGTCCTCAGAAAGGGAAATCAGGATATTTGGAGAGAGAAAGATCTTGCCATTGAAGCTTTATCCCACCTTTTCCCCAATTACCCACACATACTTTAAAAATTATTTGTTATCTCCTCTTAGGTTTTTTTGGCTTATTTCCTGCCTGTGCCTTTAACTGTGGCCTAACATGCCAATATTAAGCAAACAAAGTCTTTATCTCCATGCCAAGAAAAGCTGAACCATTTATGTCCCGATCCACCAACAGAGAAACAGAAATAAAACTGTTACAGATGCCATATTCCCAATCCACAACATAATAGAATTCTGGCTTACTGAATTGGCTGAATTCTTACAGTGCAATCTATGCACATCTACACAGAACTAAATCCTGTTGAGTTCAGTGGGGCTTTCTCCCAGATTAGAGTGTATAGGAATGCAGCTGTATTACACATGGTAGGCATACCCCTAGGATGTACAGAACTACAGCTGGATTAGCAACCGTATGTTTAGGCTGCTGTTAAAGGCACAAGAGAAGGAGAGTACAAACGGTTGGCAACCAAATTTAAGACCTTTGGTCTACAAAAAAATAGTAGGAATTCTGAATGAACACATGTAAGATTGCTCTGTTAATCTGAAATGTCATGTTTTTAGTCTGGTGTAACAATGTTCCTTCCTATACAAGGTAATTCAAAAACAGGAACACAGCCAAAACCAAAAAAACAAAACAAAACAAACCCCCGAAGATGTGGACAGATGCACTTACTTTAAACAAAAACTAAATTACAGCATGGGATGGGTTCTTGCACTGTCTGAACCCTTGAGCCAAAACCAGGGACAGCTCTAATTATGCAAGAAAAAAAGTCCCTAAAAAACCCCCCTAAAGCAAGGTCAATTCATTCATGGCCTATTTCTCAATAAAGTGCTAGCAAAGTAAAGGTTATTCTCACCTCCTGCTTTCTCTCTCCATGCCCATATTTTCACGAATAGAATAATCCAAACATTCTGTGTCACGAAGGTAACCTACAGCCCTAAGCTGTAATGGAAAGAAATGGTTCCTAAGCTCTGAATACACGCAATCTGCATCAGATGGTTGGCATCTGGCAAGATCTGATGTCAGCCCATGGATTACAGTGTTGTTTAGCTGCACTTACATTTCACTGGCTGGTTCACCACGATTCTTATATGCAACCAATTAAGATGTCCATAATAGAGTAGCAAAGCTCTGGGATTCACAGGCTTTCATTCACAAAACAACTTACCCCACAGTAACAATACAGGCTTCACTAGGAGTATTCCTAAGTAAGCAGCATGACAACTAGAGTTTAGTAGATTTGGACTTAGAGATCCCAGCCCCTTGGATCTGACTTCCAACCAAAATTGCATCCTTATAGCATAAACCTATGCAAGTGTACTCAGAAGTAAATCTCTGTGAATTGAGTCAAGTTTAATCCCAAATAAGTGTACAGAGAACTATGAGCCATCATGGGCATGATGAGCTTCTTTACTCGAAAGCCCGATTCAGTTCAGTAGGACATGCCCAGGAAAGTGTGCATCTAATTGTAGCTGCATCTTATAGAGCTAGCCTATGCATGTCCACTCAGAGGGAAATGTCAGTGAGCTCAGTGTGACCTACTCCCAGGAAGCTGGACATAGGATTGCAGCCTTAGTTGATGAAACCATGAAGCAGGACGCATAGTATGCTAAAGCTTGCTTGTCCTGCTATTGGTATAATCTGCCATGAAATCCTTCTGCACAAATCCCACTGAAGTTACGTAGAAGTATTGTAGAGCTCTTGCAGAATTTCCATTAAAAGCAACAGGGCCTGTTGCAGGAAACCCTCTCGGCAGCTTGAGCCCCTCAGAGTAATTTCTGTTATCCAGAACATTCCTGTGCTGTTCATATCACCACCACCACCATCACTATTACTGACCATCCCTAAAGCGCCTGTAATCATGGCATCAGCACGGTTACATGGTATTGCCTAACTTGCCTTCCTAGTTCAAGATGCTATTGCCCCCTTCCTGTTTTCCATGGACTTTGCAATTATGTTGAAACCCTCCACTTACACAGAAAGTTCAGCTCTGTTGTCTTCCCCTAAAAGAGTCCTTCCATTGGCTTTTGTTTCAAATGGTAAAAATAACAAACCTGCAATGCTACCAAACCTGTGAGTGCGTTTTTTTATATATGTATAAAGCATGAAAAAATGTCACGAGGGAAAAATGAACAAGGAGCTCTTGGAAAAAGATGCTGGGGAGGAGGGAAAAGAAGACAGAGCTTAATTTTTGTTAAACAAAGGAGCCAAAAATGGTTGACCTAGTAAGCTTTCCCTTAAAAGAGGGAGAGAGGCTTATCATTCTCAAGCGTGATGGATCTCTGCCGTTAAGTAGGAAGCAAGATCCATGTAGGTTTCCATGATAAATGCTGTATCTGCTACAGGAGTCGCTCAAGGATTTTCCTCTCCAGCCTGCAGAGGCTCTTCTTGTGAAGGGAGAGCCATGTCCAGGCTGAGGCCAGCTGGGTTGCCAATGAACGGATGGGAAAGCTGCTGGACAGCAGAAGCCACATCAGGAGGGAGCAGGGCTGAGGTGGTTGCTGGAGCTGAACTGGCTTTCTCTGCTGGTGCTAACACTGAGGAAAGACAGGGGAAGGCAGCTGCCGCGGCAGCTGCCGCTGCCGCAGCCGCAGCCTGAGCAGAAATCCCTGGGTAGATCAAGGGGATGGGAGCCGCAGCAGCTGGGTAGAGATATTTCTCCAGGTTGCTCTTGTCCAGGAACGGCTGCATGTAGGCAGCGGCTGCTGAGGGGGAGATGAAGTAGAAAGGCAGGCAAAAAGGAGCAGCAGGTTGCTGAGCAAAGGGAGATCCCCCTCCCCCTCCCCCTAACCCTCCAAAAGCCACCAGGGAGCTGAGCAGGGCTGGGTCAGGTCTCATGAGAGCGGCAGCCACTGCCTGGTCTGGGCTCAGCACTGCGGAGGGGCTGCTGCTGCTGCTGCAGTCCAGCTTCAACCTCTTGGCTGCTGGCTCATCCCCGGAGGGCTCCTGCTTGATCGTCCCATTGCCTTGGCTCTTCTCGCCATCTGGTCTTCCCTCGCACTCCCCTCCGTAGCCGCTATCCGTGTCTGTGTCGTTCTCCCCACCAAGCTCCACACTGCTGCTGGGATGATGATGGGCACTGTTGCCGCCGCCGCCGCTATTACTGCTATTATTCTGGGTCCTCTGGATGACGGGCACACAGTTTGGCTGGCTTTCCAGCTTTGGGCTGGTATGATCTTGCTGCACACAGGAAGAAGCAGAGGAGCTGGAACATGGTCCTTTGCTCCCACAGATCTTTGGAGTCAAGAGCTGAGGGCTAGGGAGGAACCGCATGCAAACCGAGTGCAGATGGTTGATGAGCTGGGTGCATCGCTGCTCCCTGGGAGTCCAGCTTTCAAACCTGGAGAGGTATTGCAAGACTTCTTTGGTGCACGTCTGGAATCCCGAATGAAAAGCATCCAGGTCGGACTGGAGAGGAGACTTCAGAGATCTTTCTCCTGTAATAAAGAGGGGTGGTGGAGGAGGTGATGGGGAGAATAGGAGGAAAAGAATAACAGGTGAATAAAGAACAAAATCAGTGTCACACACCTGGATTTACAGGTATCAGACCAAGTATTAGAGTCTGATTGTTGCACTACTACAATCCTAGAATTTATTTTTTTTATGTTGAAGTAGTAAGTTGTTGTTTCAAAGTTATCAGCCGCTAATCTAGTGCTGTGATTTATGGTTCACTGTGGGAAACAAGGAAGGGAAGTCTGCATTTCAATAGGTAACACATTAAAGCTGCAATCCTAAACTCACTCACTTGGGACTAAGCATCAGTATGCACAATAGGACTTTATTTCCAAGTGAACACACATAGAATCAGGCTGCACAACTGCCACCCTGCACAAACCTGCTTGGAAGTAAGCCCCACTAGAATGAGGGGGATCAGCTTCTGAATAAACATGCATACAATCAGGTCACCTGGCTGCAAAACACAAGTTCCTGCTCTGATTTACTACTGCAGATTTCAATGTGGGAACAGTGAGATTATTCTAAAGTTAGCAGTTGGTGAACCATTGCCTAAAGCATTTTATTGTAGTTTCCCTCTTAACACAGAAAAGCATCTCTTTTCCAAGTTTTTGGAATAACCTTCCAAGTTTTTCTCTCAAGTTGTTTTTGTTATGTTTTTAAAGAACCATGTCTCCTGTACTGAATTTCTGTGATAGGCTTTACTTACCATTCTGTAAAGCAATTATCTTCTGATGCTGTTGTTCAGTTAAGGCTGTTAAAGCTTTTAAGTGTTTCAAAGTTAATTCCAAAACTACAGCTTTCTCCAGATGTCCTAGTGTCTTCAAAGGGGGAAAAGTGGATTAGTTACAATCAGAGTGTTACATTGTTTCCCAAAACTTACTGTGAAACTCAGTTATTGTTGTATTATTGCTTTACTGATAAAACTGTATTCAGTGTGAAACTTCACAACTAAGAGACACTGTGAAATTGGGGTGTTTCTTTGGCATATCTACAGGAGTGCTCTTACATAGGGAACTTTCTGTGCATGATGATTTGGCAGAAAGAGTAAAAATATGGAATGTCTTGGAATTTTAAAACATTAAAATCTCATTAAAAGAATCGCATCCAATCCAGTTTAATTTTAAGGCTGCACCTCAGACATTTACTTGGGAGTAAGACCCACTGAACATGGTGGATTTCCTGCTAAGAGAACAGAACTATAATAGAGCTTTTGGCCTCACTTTACATTCAAATATGCATAAAACATCCTTTGCAGCACAACTACATCCACATTTACTCAGAAGTAAGTCCCACTGAGTTCTATGAGGTTGTTACCAGGCAAGTGTGCAAAGACTGCAGTCCTACAATCCTATGCATGTCCACTCAGAAGTGGGTCCAATTAAATTAAGTGGGATGAAATGAGACTTAGTTGTGCTAGGAATAGACCCACTGGAATTTAAGTGAATCCTGACTAACTGAATCATTTATTTCAATGGGTCTACTCTAAGACTGGATGAAGCCCACTCAGCCTTACTCCCAGGTAAGTGGGTAAACCACTGGGGCCTCGAACATAAAAGATTCCCAAAGAGTCACTATCACTGTGTGATTTGGATAATAATAACTAGACAGATACATGGAGAGGAATACACATATGTGTATGTTTAAAGATATGGACACACACAGCAACAGAACTTACTGTCAGTTTCAGATGCTCAGGCAATAAATCTTTCAGCTGAGCAATGCATTCATTAATCCTGTCTCGTCTCTTCTTCTCTATCAATCTATGTGGCAGTTTGTATGTCTCCTAATCAAGAAAGCCAAGGAGGGAAAGGACAAACAGTAAAGTTTCCTATAATGCCAAGCAGGAGTCAAGCCACTGTCCCATCAGCTCTGCAGTTCCTCCCTCCCTCCCTCATTCCAAAGTACAGCACCTTCTAGCAGGGGAACACCTCCCCAGCCAACCCAACTGTTATTTCGCAAAATGCGCAAATGAATGAATAAATAAAACCACAGATTGGTGGTAACAGAGATGGTGTGGATTAGGCAAAGAAGGGCTGTTTTGAATAATACTCACATTCATCTGAGCCTCACTCACCATCCCCCCACTAAGTACCGTGGAGGCCCTGAAGAGCACCAAAAACTTGGCCTTACCTTGCTCTCGTCTCTCTTCATGCCCCTCTTGGGTTTACACATATACAAGGAGGGATAATCCAGCCTGCGAAAACACAGACCCATCTCCCATGAGCAATGCCATCTCCCTTATCTTCTCCACCATGAAAACGCGCGAGGAAATATTTGGAAGGGGCTTGGAAGGACACGTGTACATTTAGAGCGTGCCCAGCCGAAAGATGCACGAACAGCCCGCTGCCGTGTTGCAGAAAGCCCTGGGGCGGGGGAGCCAGCGGCGCCGGAGAACCACTGCAGAACGAGCCGGCTCTTCCGTGCCGGACATCACTTTAAATGACACCACCACGGAGACACGCCAAGCGCGGACACCTTACCCGATGAAGTCCCTGTGCTCCAGCAACTGCCTCTCTTGCAAACGAGCGAGCCCCTCGTCCATGGCCGGCGGCACCTCTGGGGCTGCGCTTGCCTCTCCTGCCGGGATCCGCGGGACGACGCAGTCTGCGAAGCTCCTCGGGCACGGCAGTGGCACATACAGCCGGGGCTCGCCTTGTGCCGCTGGGGGAAACCGCGGGGAGGGGAGAGGCCAGTTGCGGAGGGGGGCGCAGAGGCAGCGCGACAGCCGCCCAGGACTCTCCTCGCCCCCGCTCCCGCGACTCAGCCCGGCCGCACGCGCGCCTGGGCTCGCCGATCGGTTGTTTTGGCCACAGGGCACGCGCGTCGCCAGCTAGACCAGCACCCGGCTCACGTGCGGAACGTACCATGCAAACCCCGGGATTGGGGAGGATGGGAGGGCGCGGAGGGAGGGACGCCGGGAGGCGGGGACAGCTCCTGGGAGGCGAGCTGGAGGAGGGAGGACGGACGGACGGACGGACGGGAGGGAGGGGGGCGCAACTTTGCCCAAGTCGTCGCCCGCCGGCAGCCGCTGGAGAGGGTCCCCGGGGGCCAAGAACGTGACCAGCGCCCGGAGCGCGCCCAGCAGCGCGGCTGCTTTCGCGTCGCCCATGGCGCAGCGCCGGACGGGGAAGCGGCTCCGTTCGGGTTGAGGAACAGCAAGCGCTCCGCGCCTCGGGGCGCCCGGCGGAGGGGAGGGCGCGCCTCGGGGCGCCTCGGGTTTGGCAGGAGGAAGACCAAGCGGGGATGTCGATCAGGCCATGCGCCGCGCCGCAACCCTCCTCAGCCTTGAGAGCAGAGGGCTTAAGCGCACCTAAACCACACACATGTAGGCTGCAGTGCTGTTTCCGCACTTATCTGACAGCAAACCCCATTGCGGTCAGCAGGACTTAGTGCTGAGCACCCTCGAATAAGACCACGATAAGATGTGACGCAGAGCCTGCTGGATGACCTTTGCTAACAACTCGCACGAGCCCGGATCCTGGGTAGACTTCTCGGAAATACACCCCGCTGGAGTCAGCGGGACATTTCCTCCTCGGGCGACCCGCGGCAGGTCGGTGCGCGAGTCCCTTGGCAATGAGTTCCACTGAATAAAGTGAGCCTCCCTCTCGAGCAAACGCGTACAGAGCCGGACTGTTACGGGAAAGCGCTGGCTGTACGGAGGCACTTATCTTACCCTGTAATCCTATGCACGTTGGCTTCTGGGTAGACGTGCAGAGAATTAGAGTGCATGTAACTCCTGATTACGGAGTTGTTGAGGCTGCAATCCTATAAACTCTGACTGGAAGCAAGTCCATTGCACTCAGTGGGGCTTCCTTTTGCGCAGACATTTATAGCAGGGGCAGGCAAGAAGGCAGCTCTCTAGATGTCTTCGACTTCTAAGGCACAGCTTCGGTAACTACTGGCCATGTTGGATGGGTTTTATAGTAGTTGCAGTCGCAAACGTCCACAGGGCTAGTTTTTGCCTGCTTCGGGCGTGTCAACCCCCCCCCCCAACCCCGAGGTGGTGTTTTTACATGGAGACGCTCAATTCTCAAACGGCGGCTGCACAAACCAACTTTTTTTTCTCTTTTATCCTTGAGATGGTAAAACTTGGCAGGGGCCTTGACTCACCCTGTGCCCAGGCCGGAGCACTTAGTAATAAAGAACTGTTAAAACCGACACTGCGTCGTGTGTGTCTGTGCGTGTGAGTGTCTATATGTAAGTTTTGAAAAAAAAGGTTTCCTTGCAGAAGGCAGAGCCACAAAGATCCCAGCAAGTTGTTAATCGCCGCGTGATTCCCCCCCTCCCACCTTCTGGCTGCGGATGCTGTTATTAATTATAACATGGTTTTTTCGCTCCGCTGCAAAAGACAGACTTCCGACGAGAAGGATCCTAAGAGGCCTGCCTGCCTTCCTCCCTCTCCCCATCTCTCCTCCCCCAGCCGATCAACCCTCCCTCCCAGGATAATGACTAACCACCTGCTCTGCGAAAGTGAACGGCCGCACTATGCTATGTCGGGCTTCGGTACGTGACGGTGCATCCCATCCGTGCCCAGCTTGCTGCTTCTTCACACACACCCATGAGCCTGCCGCTAGCGAGACAGGCGAGTGTGCGCGCAGCCCACGTTTTACTACCGCTGGCCCCTTTAAAAAGAGAGAGAGGGAGGCAGAAAGCCCTCCTCTTTAATCCCGTCTCAAACTGGTACAAACACAAGGCTAGCAACGTGATGCGACCTGCTCCTGCCGCCGCCACATCACTGCAAAGGGAGGTCCGCCGCCGCTTGCCTATGGAGTTATGCAAACAGAAGCCGCGTGGACTGGATTCTTTACCTGCTCTTCTTCTAGCAGAGCCGCGCTCGCACGGCAAGCGAAAGTTAGGAGGAGGCGCGCGGAAAGAGAGGGAGCGGGCATTAAACCAGCAGCCGGCTGCGAGAGAGAGGAACCCCGGGCTATGTTGCACGCAGCGCTGGATCCAACCCGTTCTCCTGCAGTCACGCATTACAGACACAAGAAGGGAGAGCGGGTGGGGAGAAGAGAGCCCTCGAAGTTTTACGCCTCCCTTCTCCAGCCTGGTGCCTCAGGCTGCTGGGAGTTGTAGTCCAACGTATCTGGAAGGCACCAGGTTAAGGGAGGCTGGTTCAAGTGCTCCCTTTGTGAGTCTTAACCCTTTCTCATCCCAAATAAAGTCCTATCAGTTGCGTAGAGGGGTTCTTCAGGAACGAGTGGCAAGCCTTTTGCACACGCTCAGAAGCCACCCTTTCTCATATGGTCCAGAGAGGAGCCTTGGGGTTTGAAGGCCCCGGCTCTAGGTTTCCGGGGCTTGAATGCATGCGCGGCCCAACGGGCGGGAGGTCCACCCATCCCGCTTGAAACCTGTGGGCAAGGAACACGCTTCGGTAACAGCTTCTCCACCACCCCCACCATGCACAGACAAAGGCGCATCGCGGACTCGAAGCTCAGCTCGGAGGAAAGCCCCACTGGCTTCCAATGAGGTTCGCTCCCACGTAAGCACGACACGTGACCTCGGCTTGGGGCGACTGGCCAGGCGCGCTCCTGCAGCCTAAGCCCCCGCAGCAGCGCTGACAAAGCCGCGGTGAACTGAGGCTGCACCCGTGGGAAGCGAGGGGGCCTCGAAACGGGCCGGTCTCGCCGGGCGGGGGCCACGTCTCCTTGCCAGGGTCCTGCCTGGGGCGCCACGCCAGCGCGCTGGCCGGACGGCGGAGCGCGGCACGTTGCACGGCAGGCAGAGCGCCTCCTAGGCGGGCCAGGGGGAGCCGCAGCGCGGGCACGTGCCTCTGGGCAGCGCCCGGACTGAGCTGCCCCTGGCGGTGTGAGAAGGCGAGCGAAGCCCTGCTGGCGTCATCGCGTCGGCTCCGGCTCGATCGATCTCGCCCCACCAGGCGGAAGTATTTAGGACTGACCGGCTCGTCAGGCTGCCGCACCGCCATGCACGCGCGTAGTTGGGAGTAAGCCCCGTTGAGCTCGGTAGGACGTACACGAACAAAGATGCGTAGGATCTCTCTTCCCCACCCTTGGGAATGCCTTGCAGGTATTGCGTTCAGCAAGCTGAAATGAAAGAAAACTGATTAAGAAAAGGGGAAGTGGCTGGTCATGTCGACCTAGATTGTGTTCCAGCCGCAGAATACAGCGAGTGAGGAAGGACGCCTTTGCAGTAGGTTGTCGGATGCAAAAGAAGACAGGGCTCTGTTCCGCGCCTTGTAATAGTTGTGCTGTGCAGAAGAGGAAATGTGCGTCCTCTGAAATGCTCTTTCCTGCACAGCTGCTACAGGTGCGGAACCGGGGGTGGGGTGGATCCTGTTATGGAACGCTCTTTACAGTTTAGGACTTGCACAAGACATTTTGCTGCCCGAGGCGAAAGAGAAGAGAGTGCCAGGCTCCTATTGCATGTACAGAAGCCATCCGGACTGGTGGCGGAATCTTACTTCAACCCTGGCAGCGGGACAATGTTCGCCACTGCACTTGAGTGCGGGAGGTGCAGCACTATCCTTCAATAAGCTCGTCTCCCCGCTTGTCTCTGACGCCTAAGGCAGCTGCCTCATTCTGTCTAATAGTAGGGCTAGCAAGGGGAAAAGGGGTAAGCAGATCATCAAGGCATCTTCCTTAGAGGAAAAACACGGCATGAACAGTGAAGTCCTATTCGAGTCTACTCAGAAGTATGTCCTCAGAATTCAGTGGGCTCTGCCACAGATACCTGAAGGACTGAAGCACAGTCTATGCAACATTGGGCTTCAAGCAGGGAAGCAGGCATGCATAGAGATTTTAAAAGTCTTGGTTTGTGAGGAGAAAGGAAAAGGTAGACATCCCTCTTTCAGAACAGTAAAACAGGATCATCCGATTCAGCTGGGTAAATGAATGGCAGACACAAGAAAGCACTTCTTTCAATGACCTGTAACTGAGGTATGGACCTAACTTCCTTTAAAGGAAGGTAATGCTGGCCACTTGTTTACCCGAGTGGGAATCTGTCACTCTCCAAATGGTGATGGTCTCCAATCCTAATCAGTCCCAGATATCACTTCCAGTGGCCAGATATGATGGGATTTACAGCAGCTAAACTGCTCAGTTGACAAGGTTCATGAGCTGGGTCATTAATGATCATTAATGTCCTGGAACCAGCCTCTATGTGCCTCCAGAAACTATTGGAGCAAAATCCCATCTGTGTTCGCCAGTCCAAAATGCAGGTCAGCTTGTTGGTGTTGATAGCTGTTGAGCGATTAGAAGAACCAACGTGGACAGGCTCCCCAGTCTATCTCCTGGCTCCAGTTATCTAGGAGAGGGGACCAAGAAACACTATTTCCAAACTAGATCCGAAACCCGACTTGGGGGGGATCCAGAAATCAGTCTCATCCAAGAAGTATCTGGAGCTGGGTTGCCATTACTTGCTTCAGAATGGGAGATTGGTTGATGGTTCCTTCAATCAGTGGCATTTAACAACAATTTCTTTGATAATGGTCTCTCAAGGTTATGGGAATGGACCCCTCTTTCAGGGAAAACTTCTGCCACTCCTGGGCTTGAACTGAACATAATACTCCCGCTGTGGGCATACCACAGTTGTATAGAATGGTAGTAATACCTCTCTCAATCTAGAAGCCACACTTCTGGCTATGCAAGCAAGGGTGGCATTCACCCTCTTGACAGCTGCATCACACTGCTGATTCAGGTTTACCCTGCAGTCAGCCAGTACCCCGAGGTCCCTTTCACAAGTGCTGCTCTCCAGCCACTTGTCCCCTAACCTGTACTTAAGACACCTATTCCTATGCCCCAAGTGCAAGACCTTGCACTTATCCACATTGG